CGGCGAGTTGAGACCCGCTCTGCTCTCATGAGTTATGGAAGTCCAGCCACTGGGAGCCTAGTCGAGATATTCAGAAATCACAGTCTGCCTTTCCCTGCCTCTCCCTCTGCTGCTCTCCCAACACGGCCTCTCAGCTGGGAAGGGACTGGGAGTTCTGCCCCGTTCCATGGTGTCCCCACACAGACATGCCCCAGCTAGAGACTGGAGAGCAGCATGCTTGGAAAAGTGTGTCAAGCCAAATGGAGCAGTGCCTGGCTCTGGCACTCTGACCTCAGACAACTCCAGGCATTGCTCTGGGTCTGGCTTCTCCCTCTGTAGCATGAGGACCCTTCCCCACCTTCCCAGGCCTTGTGGGGGAAAAGCCAGTCCTGCTTGCAGGGTGCTTAGCTATGAGCAGGGTCATCCTAGCATCCAGCAGTTAGTGCAAGAGTCCTGATCAGCCACGGGCAACCTTGGCTAGTGAGTGGCCAGCATGAGTGGCCTCCCTTCCTCTCAGTGGGCTGCGCTTGTGTCCCTAGAATTGACAGGAGGTGCCAATTGAACTGTCGCTGTGTTTCGATTGGATGCAGGGGCACACGGCCCTCACAGTCCATGTTGTGTGCAATCAGCATGCACCTTGCTGCACGTGCCCTTGCTTTGCCTGCATGTCACTTTAGCAATCCTGAGAGGAAAAAAACGACACAGACAGAAACCAAAGGAATATGGCAGCCCCACGTGTGGGCAACGGTAACAAAATGCCACGCGGGCCACACCTAGAACCCCGATGGGCCACAGGCCGCCCGCAGGATGCCCACCACTGGCCCTGTTCTAGACCCTGCACTTGGGTGCCAGCCGGTCACCCTACCTGGCGTCACTGACAGCTCTGGGGGCTATAGCTGGCCACAGAGCCGGTGTCGGGGCTGTTGGAAATCCAGCTCCCAGGCTTATCAAGTGGGTTCCAGTGGTGCAGGGCCCTTGGCTAGCAGAGGAGGGAGGATTAGCCATGAGCAGCTGGGCCCAGACAAGCTAATTCTAATCAGGCAGTGAACTGCTCCTGATCCCTGCCCTTGTGCGTGCCCTGCCCAGCCGGCGGGGGGGAGGGGGGGCTAAGCAATGGCCCTTTCCCCGAAGGGCAATGACACGCTGCCTCCTCTTTCCTCACCCCACGCTGCTCCGGGCTGTGCCTGCGCCCGCGCCCACCACGTATCCCGGGGGGTGCGGGGTCTGGACAGGGGGACCCCGGAGCCGGCTCGGGGGTCAGAACCGCTGGGGCTGTGCTGGCACCTCAAAGTCATGCCCTCTGGGACCTGTCCAGGCTGCACCCCGAGAACCGCACCCCCTGGACCCGCACAGCCCGCACCCCGAGAC